TACCAGTATTCCAACCTCGACTCCTAGTGAAGGAAGCACTCCATTAACAACTATTCCTGTCAGTACCACACATGTGACCAGTTCTGAGGGCAGCACCCTTTCAACACTTTCTGTGCACACCAGCACACCTGTGACCACTTCTACCCAAGTCAGTTCATCTCCTACAACTCCTGAAGTCACCAGCATGCCAGTCTCTACTCCTAGTGAAGGAAGCACTCCATTGACAACTCTTCCTGTCAGTACCACACATGTGACCAGTTCTGAGGGCAGCACCCTTTCAACACTTTCTGTGCACACCAGAACACCTGTGACCACTTCTACCCATGTCAGTTCATCTCCTACCACTCCTGAAGTCACCACCATACCAATCTCAACTCCTAGTGTTCGAAGCACTCCATTAACAAGTATTCCTGTCAGCACGACACGTGTGACCAGTTCTGAGGGCAGCACCCTTTCAACACCTTTGGCTCACACCTGCACACCTGTGACCACTTCTATCGAAATCAGTTCATCTCCTACAACTTCTGAAGGTAGCAGTATGGCAACCTCGACACCTAGTGAAGGAAGCACTCCATTAACAACTATTCCTGTCAGCACCACACGTGTGACCAGTTCTGCGGGCAGCATGCTTTCAACACCTTCTGTAGGCACCAGCACACCTGTGACCACTTCTACCCAAGTCAGTTCATCTCCTACAACTTCTGAAAGTACTAATATGGCAACGTCAACTCCTGGTGAAGGAAGCACTCCATTAACAACTATTCCTGTCAGTACCACACGTGTGACCAGATCTGAGGGCAGCACCCATTCAACACCTTCTGTAGGCACCAGCACACCTGTGACCACTTCTAGCCATGTCAGTTCATCTCCTACAAATCTTGAAGTCACCACCGTGCCAATCTCTCCTCCAAGTGAAGGAAGCACTCCATTAACAACTATTGCTCCCAGCACCACACGTGTGACCAGTTCTGAGGGCAGCACCCTTTCAACACCTTCTGTTGACACCAGCACACCTGTGACCACTTCTATCCAAGTCAGTTCTTCTCCTACTACTCCGGAAGGTACCAGTATGACAACCTCGACTCCTAGTGAAGTAAGCACTCCATTAAGAACTTTTCCTGTCATCACCACATCTGTGACCAGTTCTGCGGGCAGCATTCTTTCAACACTTTCGGTTGACACCAGTACATCTGTGGCCACTTCTACCCAAGTCAGTTCATCTCCTACAACTCCTGAAGTCACCACCATGCCAATCTCGACTCCTAGTGAAGGAAGCACTCCATTAGCAACTATTCCTGTCAGCACCACACATGTGGCCAGTTCTGAGGGCAGAACCCTTTCAACACCTTCTGTTGACACCAGCACACCTGTCACCACTTCTGTCCAAGTCAGTTCATCTCCTACAACTCCTGAAGGTACCAGTATTCCAACTTCGATTCCTAGTGAAGGAAGCACTCCATTAACAACTATTCCTGTGAGCACCACACGTGTGACCAGTTCTGAGGGCAGCACCCTTTCAACACTTTCTGTTGACACCACCACACCTGTGAGCACTTCTACCCATGTCAGTTCATCTCCTACAACTCCTGAAGTCACCACCATGCCAATCTCTACTCCTAGTGAAGGAAGCACTGCATTAACCTCTAGTCCTGTCAGCACCACACGTGTGACCAGTTCTCAGGGTAGCACCCTTTCAACACCTTCTGTTGACACCAGCACACCTGTGACCACTTCTATCCATGTCAGTTCATCTCCTACAACTCCTGAAGGTACCAGTATGCCAATCTCGACTCCTAGTGAAGGAAGCACTCCATTAACAACTATTCCTGTCAGGACCACACGTTTGACCACTTCTGAGGGCAGCACCCTTTCAACACCTTCTGTTGACACCAGCACTCCTGTGACCACTTCTACCCAAGTCAGTTCATCTCTTACAACTCCGGAAGGTACCACTATGCCAATCTCGACTCCTAGTGAACGAAGCACTCCATTAACAATTTTGCCTATCAGCACCACATCGGTGACCATTTCTGATCCTAGCACACCTTTAACACCTCCTGTTGACACCAGCACACCTGTGACCACTTCTACCCACATCAGTTTATCTCCTACAACTCCTGAAGTCACCACCATGCCAATCTCTACTCCTAGTGATGGAAGCACTCCATTAACAACTATTCCTGTCAGCACCACTAGTGTGACCCGTTCTGAGGGCAGCACACTTTCAACACTTTCTGTGCACACCAGCACACCTGTGACCACTTCTACCCATGTCAGTTCATCTCCTACAACTCCTGAAGTCACCACCATGCCAGTCTCTACTCCTAGTGAAGGAAGCACTCCATTAACAACTATTCCTCTCAGCACCACACGTGTGACCAGTTCTGAGGGCAGCACCCTTTCAACACCTTCTGTTGACACCAGCACACCTGTGACCACTTCTACCAGAGTCAGTTCATCTCCTACCACTCCTGAAGTCACCACCTTGCCAATGTCAACTCCTGGTGTTCGAAGCACTCCATTAACAACTATTCCTGTCAGCACCACAGCAGTGACCAGTTCTGACGGCAGCACCCTTTCAACACTTTCTGTTGACACCAGCACACCTGTGACCACTTCTATCCTAGTCAGTTCTTCTCCTACAACTCCTGAAGGTAGCAGTATGGCAACCTCGACTCCTAGTGAAGGAAGCACTCCCTTAACAACTATTCCTGTCAGCACCACACCTGTGGCCAGTTCTGCAGGCAGCATGCTTTCGACACCTTCGGTTGACACCAGCACACCTGTGACCACTTCTACCCACGTCAGTTTATCTCCTACAACTCCTGAAGTCACCACCATGCCAATCTCTACTCCTAGTGAAGGAAGCACTCCATTAGCAACTATTCCTGTCAGCACCACACATGTGACCAGTTCTGAGGGCAGCACCCTTTCAACACCTTCTGTTGACACCAGCACACCTGTGACCACTTCTATCCAAGTCAGTTCATCTGCTATAACTCCTGAAGGTACCAGTATTCCAACCTCAATTCCTAGTGAACGAAGCACTCCATTAACAACTATTCCTGTGAGCACCACACATGTGACGAGTCCTGAGGGCAGCACCCTTTCAACACTTTCTGTTGACACCACCACACCTGTGACCACTTCTATCCTAGTCAGTTCCTCTCTTACAACTCCGGAAGGTACCACTATGCCAATCTCGACTCCTAGTGAAGGAAGCACTCCATTAACAATTTTGCCTGTCAGCACCAGATCGGTGACCATTTCTGATCCTAGCACACCTTCAACACCTCCTGTTGACACCAGCACACCTGTGACCATTTCTATCCACGTCAGTTCATCTCCTACAACTCCTGAATTCACCACCATGCCAATCTCTACTCCTAGTGAAGGAAACACTCCATTAACAACTATTCCTGTCAGCACCACTAGTGTGACCAGTTCTGAGGGTAGCACCCTTTCAACACCTTCTGTTGACACCAGCACACCTGTGACCACTTCTGCCCAAATCAGTTCATCTCCTACAACTCCTGAAAGTACCAGTATGCCAATCTCGACTCCTAGTGAAGGAAGTACTCTATTAACAACTATTCCTGTCAGCAGCACACATGTGACCAGTTCTGAGGGTAGCACCCTTTCAACACTTTCTGTTGACACCAGCACACCTGTGACCACTTCTACTGAGGCCATTTCATCTTCTGCAACTCTTGACAGTACCACCATGTCCTTGTCAATACCCACGGAAATCAGCACTCTTGGGACCACTATTCTTATCAGTTCCACCCCTGTAATGAGGTTTCCTGAGAGTAGCACCCCTTCCATACCATCTGTTGACACCAGCATGTCCGTGACCACTACCTCTGAAGGAAATTCATCTCCTACAACTCTTGAAGGTACCACCATGCCTGTGTCAACTACGAGTGAAAGAAGCACTTTACTGACAACTCTCCTCAGTCCTATATCTGTAACGAGTCCTTCTGAGGCCAGCACACTTTCAACACCTCCTGGTGATACCAGCACACCTTTGCTCACCTCTACCGAAGCCAGTTCATCCTCCATACCTGCCGAAGGCACTACCATACATATTTCAACTACCAGTGAAAGAAGCACTCCATTAACAACTCCTCGTGTTAGCACCACACCTCCAACTAGCTTTACTGAGGCCA